AGACTACTGGACAGTAGTGGTGTCCTAAGCTAGCCGGCGTTGGGGCCCTTACTGTAGTGCAGATATGAACAGCAAACAGGTTCTCAATGTGGCCAGAGGCCTCTCACCAATCTTCAGGTCAGTTGGAACAGATGAAACTGATAGCAGATGCTGGACATCTTCTATCCCTCTGCAGTTTAGGCTCAGTAGGGGAAGTCCTCTGGGTCCTTGATAGGAAGTCTTCACTCATCCAGGATGCTTGCAGTCATCTCGGTTAGCTGTGTCTGGCTTCTCTCTCAGCTGGGCGGCTGGATCACTCTGGCGGCTGGTTCGGCCGTGCAACAAGGCCTCAACGTCCTTTGCGGTCACCGCGTCACCGGACCTCCCTTCAGGCACTCGATCAGGTCCTTTCCGATTCAGCGACCCAGGTCAGTCTCTCTGTACACCGCTGCACAGAGCCTGTGTGTCCATGTATATCAGCGGTAACCACACAGCTCTGTCTCTCACAGTCTTAGCCCACACAGGGCTGCACAGTACTGTCCTCTTCAGATGGCTGTCCCAGACTGAGCGCGCACAGCAGCCACCACCCCTAAGTCTCCTCCTCCCTCCTGCACATCCTCCTGGGAGCTGTAGTTTTAGAGATCACTCTGGCAAAATCCCAGTCTCTGCTCTGCACTCCAACTCCCATAAATCTCCGCCTCCAGGGCACACAGAGGCCATTAACTATTCACAGTCAGGAACATGAATCACTGTGATCGCACGTATATACATGAACATATATATGTATATCTATAGGGGCTACATTTGTAATTCATCGTGGGTATGGCAATATGAGGGTGAGTGACGTAGAGCAGTAAATCGTCGGTGAACAGTGCGAGCTTGGATCTGTAAGGGCCCACAAGAAATCCCTGGAAGGCAGAATTCCGCCGGAGAGCCACCGCCAAGTGTTCCATGGTGAGTATGTAGAGGAGAGTGGACAGTGGACAACCTTGACGGGTGCCATTAGAGATCTGAAAGTTCGGGGAGAGTGAGCCATTTATACAAACCCTAGCCAACGGGCCAGAGTACAGAGCGAAAACATTTCTCAACATATTGGGGCGAATCCCTAGTTGTAGCAATGTGTGCTTAAGAAAACACCAGTCGAGGCGGTCAAACGCCTTATTGGCGTCCACCGACAAGAGGCTGAGTGGTGTATTAGATGATTGAGCATAAGGCATCAGCAAAAGCGTCCTGATTGGGCTATCCTGTGCCTCGCGGCCTTGGACAAACCCGACCTGGTCGGGATGAACCACCTCCGGCAGGAGTGGCTTAAGTCGGTTGGCAATCAGTTTGGCAAACAATTTCACATCCACATTGATGGACGATATTAGTCTAAAATTTGTTCATAGAGAATGATCCTTATCCGGTTTAGGGATCATGGAGATATGAGCTTTCAAAGCCTGAGCCGGGAAAGAAGCACCTAACGCAATAGAATTAAAGACCTTGAGTAGAAAGAGGGCGAGTTTGTCATGGAACAAGTTATAGAGTTTAACCGTAAAGCCATCGGGTCCTGGGATTTTACCTGTTGGCGCTGATTTGAGAGTAAAAAGAAGTTCCTCCATTGTAAAGGGCGACTCCAACGCCTCGACATCAGAATCCTCCAGAACTGCGAGGGTGGTATCTTGGACATAAGCTAATACCTGTGCCTCATGATCTGAAGAGGTCACGTCCAATGCCGGAAGATTGTAAAGGGAAGCATAGAAATCAGCAAAGGTTTTTTTGGATCACTGAGAGTACCAAGAGAGTACCAGACGCGGACTGGATATGCGGGACATACAATTGATTGGATCTAGGATGTAAGGTCCGAGCTAGAGCCCTCCCACATTTATCACGAGATTCATAGGCCCTGGACACCAGTCTGTCTGTATACTTGTGTGTAGATAAGTCAAGAAGCCCCAGAAGCTTCAATCTGGCCTGAGAGAAAAGTAACAAAAGTTCAGAGGAAGGTAAGTGTTTATGCCGAGTTTCCAGAACAGAGAGGGATTGAATAGCTTCCTGAATATTTTGGGATCGTTCCCTTTTCAACCTGGAACCCTGCTGAATTAAGAGCCCTCTCAGAACCGCATTCAACGCCTCCCACTGGAGGGGGAGGGTGGTGGGTGGGAGGCGTTGAATGCGGTTCTGAGAGGGCTCTTAATTCAGCAGGGATTCAAAGCATGAACCTCAAGAAATTGAGTCATCTCCCCCATGATCGTGGAGGAAAACCGTTGGTCAGCAAGTAGGGAATCATTCAAATGCCAAGCCCACTCCTGAGGGGGAGCCTGAGGAACCTGCAGGGACAACGTTACAGCGGCATGGTCCGACCAGATCATGGGGCCAATATCAGAGGAGGGGACCCAATCCAGCAGGGAATGGGAAACAAAAAAGTAATCTAACCTGCCATAGGAATGATGAGGCGCAGAGAAATGGGTGTAGTTATGGGTCACTGGGTGGAGAATTCTCCACACAGCCACCAAACACTGCAGAGCTTAGTGTATGACTGAGCACAATTAATCCATGCTGGGGTCTATAGTAAAGTTAAAGTCTCCACCCACTAATACTGAGCCATCAGCAAAGTCCTCTAGAACCTTCAGAAACTAAACAGTGGTAGCAGCTTGAACAGTGTTAGGGAGATAGAAGTTGGCCAAGGTTAAGGACCTACCCCAGAGTAAGAATTTAAGCAGTAAATACTGGCACAACCCATTTGTCTCAGGGGTCCAATACAGTGGCTGGGAAAGATTTGTGGATAGCAATAGAGAACCCACGTGACTTTTGGATACTATTAGTACTATGATACCAATTGGTGAAGTACCTGTTGGCACAAGAAGGAGCGTGACCTGTTTGAAGTGAGTTACCTGAAATAAGATAACATGTGCTCAGTTCTGCCCCCTTTTGGAGGGATATTCAGTCCTCTGGCATTATAGGTACAGATTCGTAGCTCTGTAGGGGCAACCACGGCCGCAGCCATGGCCTGGTGGTGGGAAGAACAGAAAAGGGGAAAGAAGGAAGAGGCACCAACACTTAGAAGGACAAAGCCAAAGAGGCAGAGAAAGGGCAAAACAGAAGACACAGAGGACAAAAGAGCAGGAAGAAGAAGATAAGGAGAACACTGAGAGAAAAAAAAGGGGGTGGAAAAACGGCTACTCAGGTAATAAACTTTAGATTACAACAAACTCCCACAGGAGATGTATTGCCTATGTGGGGAGAAGTGGTCGATTAGGGAAGTAGTGAGATGCTTACCAGGGCTTAACCTGCGAGACAGTGTAATCCAGACACCTAGCCCCCCAAACTCACGGAAGCAAATATCAACACAAAAATAAACTTATCTTAAGCTTCCTTCAACAAGCCAGGAAAGCCCTCTGTGGGCCACTCACCCTTCCCTCGTGCCCCCCCCCCCCTCAACTAGGGGAGGATGCAAGGAAGGGGAGAATGGGGCCTATTGGAACCCACTGAAGAAAGGAAGAGCTGGCAGACAATAATACCGTCGCCAGCCCCCAACCCCGATCAGCCAATACTGGGAACATGAAGTTGTAATAACAGAATACAAACTAAACGATCAACATAACTCAATATGAGGCCACAGCCCGCGTAACTGCAGACACATGACAGGAGGCCTCACTTTAGTAGAAGGCATCCAGGCAGCCACCTAAGTCGTCCCCATACTCCATATGAGCCAGGTAAATCCCAGGAGTCTACCAAAAAAATGCCAAGGTGAGAAAAAAAAATAATTAAAATGAGTCAAACAGTACAGGGCAAAACAATACGTAATCACAGGATACCATGAACAGCGGATCCACCCTCGTTAGAGGATGGGATAGCAGGTGGAAGGGATCCAGGGCCTCTTCTTGTTGAGAGAGATTGGGCCTGTCTGCGACCCCGGGGTAGGACATCAAGTGGTTGGGAGTCATCTCCAGAGAACGGTAAGTCAAGCCAGTCAGGAACTGAGATCGGCTCAGCCTCTAGGAATCCAAAGAAGTCAGGGAGCTGTGCTGGAGAACACAGATGAAAAAGTTTGGAACCTTTATGAAGTTGAATGCTGAAGGTGTGACCCGAATGACATCCAGCAGAGGTCTCACTGATCTGCGCATGGCTAGGGTTAGATGGGAAAGGTCCGGAAGAAGTTGTATGGAAACACCATTGAAATCAGTCGGGCCCATTCTTCACGCAGAGCGAAGAATCTCCTCCTTAACAACATAAAAATGTACCCGAAAAACAACATATCGAGCACGATTAGGGTTGCCCAGATTAACCCCGGACACACAATGTACTCTGTCCAGTTCAATGTGGTCAGTAGCGGTCTTCCCCAGAGCCATATTCAGGATAGCCATGACTGTAGCACATAGGTTTGAACCCTGAGTGCCTTCTTGAATCTTCCTCAGATGGATATTATTACAACTGCTCTGATTCTCGCCGTCCTCCACCCACAATTGTAATTGTTGAAGATGAGAGCGATGGGAAGTCTGGGTTGCCTCTAGCGCTTCTATGCAAGTATCCTGCAGTGTGACAGAGGCTGACAGGGTCGACAGGTTAGACTCAGTAGTGGCGATCCGCTGGTGGACTCCCCTCACCTCGCCTCGCAGCGCGCGCCCTCCAGTCTCATGGCCCAAGTGTCAAAATCCGCCCTAAAGGCTAAGAGTTCACGTACCTCACCGGCCGCCGACTGTTCGGGATCACAGAAGACTGCTGGCATCGAGGGATCCAGAGCGTCAGAGGAGGCAGCGCTGAGTACAGGGGGGATGCCGGAGGGATCAGCATTTTCTGACTTGCGGGACGAGCTAAAGATCTGGGTCCCTGTGTCGCCGCCGGCGTGGGGTCCACTGCGGCCTTCTTTGGCTGGGAGGCTTTTGGCGTAGGAGGCAATGTCTCGGGTAGAGGAGGCAACAGGTGAAACAGGAGAGGTCCGGTAGTCGGGCATAGGGGAGAAATGGATCATAACGCTTAAAAAGTTCACTGCAGGAAGCCCTGCATCAGCAGAGCTTACGGCTGCACGTCCTCACTCTTCCATGGTCGGCCACACCCCCCCAGAGAACTACTTTTTAATAGACTACAAAAGGTAGAAACACACTGAAAAGGCATTACAAAGGTAAAATCACCATTTAAATAGAGTAGAAAAGGGTTATAACCCCTATCAGATTACATTTGCTATCTCTGCCCTGCCGGAAAGATTTCCATTCACTTTTTGTCCCGGACATGTAATTTGGGATAAGGGGAAATCCCCCCCAAAAAAGAGTATTTTAATTTCAAAACATTTGTCCCATTTGGAAAAGTTTCCCTCACCTCTTGCTTGGATTTCCCTTCAATATAACATATAGAGGGGTAAATCTTACCAGCTGGGTCACAGGTGACAATAAATACCTGACAAGGGGTCTATCTGTTCCCAAGCTGTCCTTAACATACACTTTAACCACTTCTCCACTAGACATGTGCACCGGCAAAAAATTAGTTTCGTTTTCATTCGGATTTTGGGTTATTTCGTTTTTCGGGATTCGGGTCCGAAATTCAATTCGTTTCGGGATTCGGATTCGGACGGAATTCGTTAGCGGTAGTCTGTACGAAATTTCGTTTGTTGGGCGAAATTTCGTTGCAGCAAAGAAAATTATTTTTTCAGTCTGCAGAACAGGAAAAAAAATAGGGTGAGCCCCCCCCCCCAATTCATACCAGACCCTTTATATACGTACAATACTAAGTATAGTATATATAAATACTCATACCAGACCCTTAAATACTACATAGCATTAGGGAGCGAACTTAATTTTGGTTGCCCCTGTCTGTCTGACATCATGTGTCCGGTTTTCAGCTGCCATGAAACCCGGACACAGCATTCAAAAACAATAGCATTCTGTAGCTCCCGAATGCTATTTAGTATTTGACAGCTGAGAATGTCAAATGAGCTGAGCAAGCACCGTGACGTCACGCCTTGTTCCGCCCATCTGTTTATTTTCGGGCAAGAGATGTCATTTTGCGGCGGGTTTTCGTCGGGTTCGGACGGTCGTCGTGACTTTTTTTATTTAGTCGGGTCGGCGCGCGTCGTGCATCGTGATTGACGCTGGATTGCATCGATAGGGTTGCCACTTTTTTTTCCAGCGAAACCCAAACACTCTAGCGGCGCACGGAAATTTATTTGGGGAGAATGATTCGAGGCTTATCCATATGTAAATAGCCCCATCCATTCATATGTAAATATCACAGTGGAGACTATTTTTAGTGGGGGGCCAGTAGCCCATATCTTAATTTAGTTGCCCCTGTCTGTCCGACATCATGTGTCCGGTTTTCAGCTGCCATGAAACCCGGACACAGCATTCAAAACCCGGACTGTCTGGGTGAATCCTGGACAGGTGGCAAAACTATACATCGATGGAGCAATTTTTTTTCTTTTTTTAATTACAGGAATAGTGAAAAACTGACAGTTTTTTTTTTCAGTTAAATAATTTTTTCTAAAAGTGTGGTTTGTTTATTTACTTTGAATTTGAACCCTTTAGTGAATGAGTAGGGGTACCCCTAGGGGGAGAGGCGGAATCTGGGGGCCACGTTTATTAAAGGGGTACCCCGATGCAAATAAGCCCCCTTGCCTGCAGACCCCCACAACCCTGACCCGGTGGTTGTGGGGGTGTGGGGGTCTGCAGGCAGGGGGGAATTCCCAATAGGTGTATAATTGGCACTCCTAGACAAGAAACATATGGACACATTTATTTAGATTAGGTTTTCTATGGTACTCGTTTACAGCCAGGGGCATTTTATATTCGCTGCCCACGAATTATATGTTCGTTTTCAGAATGCTCCTTCGGCAGGTTTTGTAACCCGCATGCTAAAGCTCTGCAATATTTTTACTTTCGATGTCAACTCAACCCTTCAATTATACTACAAACTAATAAATTGTATTGTCGGTATGTGGGTTTATGGCTGTGTCGCCTTTTGCTTTTTGTCTTTTCCTGAATTATTGCTAATAGGACCATGGTCGCCTCATTTTATACTCTGATAAGCATTTTTTATATATCATTTTTTAGTAACGTTCTAGTAAATATAATATGTTAAAAAATAAATAAAAATACATATATATATTTTTTAAATGTCTTTGTGTGGCCCTGTCCCCATTACCATTGTTGCTTAGACAAGAATTCTGTATGTGCGTTATAATTAATCAAAATTAATCGATTAAAAAAAAATTTGATTAATCAAACACGAAAAATGTAATCAGTAACAGCCCTAGAATACATCCAAATCTCCAAAATTTCAATTCGGAATGAAACGAATCGCACATGTCTATTCTCCACTGGCCATTTAAAGATGAACTCCAGACAAACGACAACTGCAAATATTAACTGCTCGTTTTGGTCCAGGGTCTAAAATAAGGAAGATACACTCACTTGATCCTTGGTCCTGCAAAGATGACCACTCACTTATCTCCGCTATGGCAATAGAATGTCCCTTGGCGTCCTCTAATGCAGTTGCATAAGACTTGATGACATCACAGGTCCTTTGACTGCTGGAGCCTGGGGGGAGAAGAGGCTGCAGGGACCGGTCTACCAGCTAGGTGGGACCAAGGATCAGGTGAGTGTATTTTCTTTACTTTAGCTCCTAGTCCAAAATGAGCAGTTAACCCTTGCTTTGTGGGGGTAGCCCCACTGCAAGGGTTCACTTTTTGATTGCTTGGGGTTCTTTTTTAAAACAAAATGCAAGTTGGTGGAGTAGACATACCTGTATGTCCTTGTTTATTCATGTTTGTGTGTGTGTGTGTGTGCCCAGCATGAACACAAGCTGCTGCTCTCTCTGTCATTAGACAACGGAGAACATCGGCTACAGGCACAGAGCTAACCGTATCGGTGATCTGTCGACACTGAGAGCTTATCAGGTTCTGCGACCGCCTGACTTCCGGTTTCGTTAAAACTAAGAGGTTTGCCCAAGAAAGTTGTTCTGCACGAGCGCCAGCCAGGGCATTGCCCTATACACATACACCACAGCAATGAAGTCATAAAATGAACGAGGATCACAGTAATCCAGCACATTATTAATCTCACGTGCCCCACTCAATATGGCCGCCGCTTGAGTGCGGCAACTCAGATTAATAACGTGCTGGATTTCTGTAATCCTAGTTCATTTTATTACTTAATTGCTGTGCTGTATGTGTATAGGCCAATGCCCTAGCTGGCGCTCCTGCAGAACAAGTTTCTTGGGCAAACCTCTCATTTGTAACGTAACCGGAAGTCAGGTCGCAGAACTCGATAAGTTCGAACTTTCGATCAAACACTGACTCTGTGCCTTGTGGTTATTGTTATTGGTCATCAAAGTGATCACATGGCGAAGTTTACATTGCTAAACCCTCCCTCTTACAATGGAGAGAGAATAGGAACTAATAAATTAATTAACAAATAATTTATTATTTTCTGATGACCACAAGCAATTCATTTGGGTACAGTGTTGCATAACCGCGCAATTGTCAGTCAAACTATCACAGCACTGAAAACTAAAACAAATTGACCAGTCATGAAAATGGTGTAACATGCTACTCCAGAATTGGTTAAACAGCACATTACCAGTGTGTATTCAGCTTTGGTTTTACATGTACAGTTTAAAATACGCACTGGGATAGCTGTTTTTCCTATGGGGTATATGTTATTAGAAATGTCCACTTTGCATCTATAACCGCATATCAATAAAGTTTTTCATGTTTGCAGAAAAGAGGCAGTTTCCCTTGCGCTCCTGACGTATGGACGTACAAGCTGTGTGGTAGCCAAACAGGCGTGTCGTCATTTCCTTTGTCTACACCTCCTTTCCGTGCGGCTTCCTGGCTGCTGCCCCGGATGGTGTATAGCTGTAGTGGTGCTGCTGCGGCTGCTGCTCTCCTGTCACCTGACGCAGCGGCCGGCGGCCCTATTCCTCTCCCTCCTACTTCTCAACCAGACCCTTCGTCGGCTTCGTCCTCTTCCTGTCTCCGGAGCTCCAACTCAACAGCGCCCGTATCCTCCCCCGGCCTCCCCGTTCCGGTGTCCCGCCCGGAGGGGGCCCGGCTGCCGAAGATGGCGGCGGGGGCTGCGGGGGGGTCCT